AAACCTTCACTTCTTTTTTCCTTCTTGCTCATCTACTTTTTTTCCTTTTCGCTTCCATCATTCATTTGAATTAAGTGGGGCTATTCATCCTCACTTACTTCCTTTCAAAGCTACAGCCGTTCTACCCGCTCCTATAAGGTTTCCAACGGCTTGAAAGTTTCCAAAATGTATCTTGAACGACGTTATTGTTCAACATCTTCATCGTCCTCATCCTCCTTTTTTTTCTTTTTCATTGCTTCCTCCCAGTATTTGGGGGGCTTTTAGCTTCTCCTTTTCCTCTGTTGTAACAACTACTTAGCATCCACTTCTTTCCTTTTCTCTCATCTTCATCTCCCTTTCCTCCCGTCTTTTCTTCATTCCTTTCTATTCCCTCACTGACCTGGTATCGTCTCGGGTTCAAATAAAATGTCATACGCCAACCGATTGCTTCTCGTTTCTCGTCGTAATCGATTCTTTCTGTCTTTCGTAACGATGCCGACCCATACTCGATGACATTTTCCCAGAAGCGACGACGTTAGGCCCATCAGCGACGTCCAGACGGGGCGCCTCTCACACATACACAAATGTGATGTCGGCATTTACCATTGATAGGGCTATTTCCCTCTTTCATCGGAATCGGGTCTCGTGCACTTCGTTATGCGGATAGGGCCTTTACGATAGCATCGGGATTCTCGGTTACTCAACACACTGAGCGCTAGTGGTGGAGGGAACCGCAATCTAACATCCAGTAGGTCGTACCTTAGGAATCCATTGGGAGGGGGTGGGAGTCGTACTTGGCAGCTGGAAGGGGCACGCACCAGCTTGCGAGGAAAACGTCTTTCGGCTTTTGACTTCCCTCGGTTTCCCGATTTCAAGTGCGCTTACTTGATGCGCTTATGCCCTCTCCCCCTTTTTTGAGGGAAAAAATTGAGGAGATTCCCGTAAAGAACTCAGGAAAAGTGGTAGGAAGTTGGGAAATTTAAGGAGGTGGCTTGGATGGCGAGGATGGGAAAGCGGACGGGAGTCCTGCCAGGGGAGACAATTTGTGGGAGGGGGCGTATTTTGCAAAATATTCCTCGACGGCAGAACACCCACTCTCAACATATTCCAAGCTACAAAGAAAGCAGTATCATTAGCCGCGGTAAAAAAATTCTTGACAGAAGCAGTCTGCATATCTTTGAGAAGCCGAAAACCGCATCCCAAAAGTACTTCAGAAAGTGTGAAACAGACTTGGAAAGCGTGCCTTGAAACCGATGCACACGACGTTCTTGTCTCGAAGCATGCAGCAGCTTCTGGCGGTTCTCAATAGCGGAGTTTATTAGGATGATGGCTTCTAATTT